ACAGAAAAGCCCCCTAAACCCTAAACCCTAAACTTTAAATCCCTAAATCCCGAACGAGCCCTTACCCCTGACCCGAAACTCCAACCCTTAGCCATAAACCCTAAGTCCATGTAGGGGTTTAGGGTTTAGGGTTTAGGTCCAAGTACCTAACAATCACATACTCCCACACATGGTAACCTACATAACTACTAGTTACTCCAAACCCAAGTACCTCATTATTGGGTCCTTTGGACCCTTTGAAGCCCTAGATCAAGTGCTACACCCTAAACCCTAAACCTTCAACCTTAGACCCTGAACCCGGGACCCTAAAACCCGCAAACTTAAACCCTAGACCCTAGACGCTTAATCCCGAAACCCTAAACCTTAAACCCTAGACCCTTAACCCTAGACCTTAAACGCTAAACCTTAAACCCTGAACCCTAGACCCTTAAACCCGAAGCCCTAAACCTTAAACCCTAGACCCTCAACCCTAGACCCTAGACCCTAGACCCTTAAACCCGAAACCTTAAACCCGAAACCCAAAGCCTTAAAGCCTAGACCCTCAACCCTCAACCCTAGACCCTATAAACCTTTAACCCTAAACCCTAAAGCCTTAAACCCGAAACCCGAAACCTTAAACCCTAGACCCTAAACCCTAGGCCTAGACCCTCAAACCCGAAACCCTAAACCCTAAAGCCTTAAACCCGAAACCCTAAACCAAAACGGAACTCCAGCCCAGCTGAGCGGCCGGGTCTACAGCGTCATCATCGATGGAGAAGCGCTCCAAAAACAGCGCAAAGGGCAACGCCACCGGGTCCTGAGTTTTAGGGTTTAGGGGGTTTAGGTTTCGGGTTCAGGTTTCGGGGTTTAGGGGTTTAGGGTTTATGGGATTTCGGGTTTAGGGGTTTAGGGTTTAGGGTTTAATTAGGGGATCTAGGTTTCGGGGTTTAGGGGTTTAGGGTTTATGGGATTTAGGGTTTAGGGGATTTAGGGGTTTAGGGTTTAGGGTTTAGGGGATTTAGGTTTNNTTTAGGGTTTAAGGTTTATGGCTTTACGGTTTCCCAAAAGATCCACATGATCCCGGTGTGCCCCCCCCCAATGGTTGGTACCCACGGCCATCGCGGCCGACTGATGAAAGCCTTCTTGTCGGACGTGAGCACAAGTATCGTGAAGCTCTCTGCAGACAACGGTGCGCTTTGCTTTCAGCGCGCATCATCTGAGCCCAACTTTGGATGCCGTCGTGCTCACAGTTCAGGCAGCTCCAATGCGAATCTGCTCTGACATTTCGCCCGTGTTGCATTGGCGACATCAAGGGTTTTTCGTGCATACTTGATTTTTCTCTCCATATATCATACATCACGGGTCTGTCTGTCTGTCTGTCTGTC